TTTTCATGTAAGAGGCAGAATTTCTTGAAAAATCTGTAAGAAAATTCGATTAGGTGTAATGTACTGCAAGTCTACGAACTTCAAAGAGTATCAATTTAGGTAGAGCGAACTTTTGGTCGAATCTGTAAAAAATGTTGAGTCAGCCATAGGAACTGAACTCTTGAAATTAGCAACACAAAAAGTTTTGTGCGGCATTCATATATTACCTATTTTAAGGAAATTTTAATATTTAATGTATTGTTGATGGTACTAGATCATTTTTTGACTTCCAACATTTAGATTGCATGGCTTCAAACCTTTAATTAGCCCTTTTCGAATTTTTCGAGTATTTTAAAGGTACTATTGTTCTAGAGTTTTAATTAGGGTTTCCAAAGACCGTTCAATGAAGCTGTATGACAGCGCATAGTTTTATGCACTTTTTATCTACACTTTATCGTATTTGCTTTCCAAGCTAGATCTTTTCCCATTTTTTCTTTAAGGTATTTATTTGACTACAAAGTATTCTTGAATGCATTCTCTTTGTTAAATAATTGACTATACTAACTTCTTTAATATCAAAGTAACCAAACTGCTCACTCTAAGTGAATCAGGCTAATGCCTAATGCCAATGTTTGCCACATTTTTGGTTATTCTGATCCTTCCGGTACAACAGGCGCATTCTGCAAATGAGGAAGTAAACTCAAAGAAATCCATGAAGCAACTTCTTTAGCGACGCTACGCTTTGGGTAATAAATAGGCGACTTAGGCAGCTTTCCAGAGATGTTTTCCAAGGATCACATAGCTTCTTCTACATGTCCTGCCGCAATTACGAACAAGTATTCATGTCAAACTCCTTCTTGAATTTCATGCACTTCAAAAAACCATTGCTCCTTTTAGTGAGAGTCAATAGTTCTTTGTGCAGAACTAGAACTTTGAGATCTGCCGTACTCCTCTCTCTTTTGATTTCACAATCAAATCAAGAAACTTGCATTAATAATCTTTTTGGAGTGCACGTGAAGTTTAAGCTGAGGGTTGACGCACTGGTCAGGCGGAAACGAGCGGGTGGTTTCGAGGAATCGACTTTCATCATGATATCTGTCGAATGTTTGATGCGTGTATTACTCGAGGGGGATGACTGCAGTAACCCCATGCGCTCGAAATAGCGCATATAATCAAAGGGAGCAGGACCATGTTTCAAATTACAAACTCATGATGGAGTCGATTTTATAAGAAATTCGAAATATCTTGGAAGGATTGCATCTCTCTTCGACAGAGCAAAGTTTTTTCCTGTGATAGTAAAGCTGAGGCATTTTCCGAGCATTTTATTTCTCTTTTTCTGCATTATCTCATGCTACCTTCAATTGCAAAAACTTATTCGTTTGTGTATTGCATCCGTCACATATATCGCCAGCCAGTATAAACACAAAGTTTATTAGAATTCAATTTCCACTTCAGAAAATGGAAGCTGTTGCTTAACTTAAACAATTATAGTGATTGAAGAAAAGTTTGAAGCAAAAGAAGTCTCTTTATGTTTGATGTTTGAACCTTTATAAGTAGAAATACCCGAAAATTCTTCCTTTATAGCTATTTCTTTCAAATATTTTGCAAGAATCACTTTAAACTCTTTATTTGTCAATGAACTTGTTTAGAATATCCATTGTAAGTAGCTAATAGTCAATTTCTAACGCGCTTTTTCAGTCATTATATCTATGACAACGACTCTACTCAAACATTGCCTTAACGT